CTCCGCGACACTGCAACACACACACACTTGGTATAGTTCTTTTCAAATATCTTTGCAGCTCGGAATATCGAACAAAATGACCTTGAACATATTTGCAGGGATAAGAAGGTAATTTTAAAGTATTACCTATTAGTAATACTATTACTGGCTCTGTCGGCGTCATCTCCCCGTGCGTCAGCTCTCCGGCCGGCGCCCTCTAGCGGCAGCAGCAGGTACACCATTCTGTTCGCGTAATGTATAGCTTGACTGTACAACGTCGATTCTTCACTTGCTATTAATTCACGTTGTTTCTCTGAAATAAATCATCAAATATTAAATACAACGAATTAAAAAAAATCTTACTAATATTATAAATACGAATGTTTACATGGATGGTTGTTTAAAAGTATCTGCAGAACAGCTCAACGAATAACTATGAAATTTGGCATACATATAGAACATAGTCTGATAGAACACATAGGCTACTAATCATGTTTTTTTTTAGTTTCGTGCGGACATACTCGCGGGTGACCGCTAGTATTATTATACGAGAATCCTACACTTTTTCAAGATAAAAAATTGGCCTATGCATTCGTCTAGATACGTTTAATTTCTATGATAAATTTCGTACAAATTCATTCAATAGTTTTGAAGTTCTCTGGTAACAAACACATCCATACTATAGTATGTACAATATGATTATTACCTGGTGGTAACGTGGGCCACAATCTCATCTGTTCTGCAGCTATCTCTAACGCACTTGGTTCTTGTGCTTTTAACAATGATATGTATTCTTCATCTTCCCTGAAAAAAAAACATTTACAAATATAAGATTATTTTATATGTTTTACATCGTGATGCTGCACATATCTGAGAAGAAATTTAAAGATATGTATGAAGTCAACCAACCCGCACTTGGCCAGCGTGGTTGACTATGGCCTAATCAACCTTAACTTAGGGTAGGCTCCGAGCCCCTCGGTGGGGACGTATACTGAGCTGATGATGAATGTTTTATGTGATTTTACGTTATATAATTTTTGTAACTTTACCTTGGACTCGGTACCCTTTGATGATGTGTAGGACTCGGTAGGTAGAGGGCTTTTATGTCTCTTTGTACATCCTGATAGAAAGCCGCCTCCCAAAACTGCTGACTGGTCCAAACTTGATGTTCCTAAAATTAAAAAAAATCATAGTTCATACATCTATAGCACTCGCCCGCGACTCCGTCTGGCATTAAAGCTTAACTAGTAGCCTATGTTTTTCCAGGCTATGTTCTATCTCTAATCCCACAGCGAGATCTATGCAGCCGTTCTGGAGATATCATCTAACAAACATCCATCCATACATCTAAACAATTGCATTTATAATATTATTATAGTAAAATTTAAAACACTGTCACACATTTTAAAGTTGCGTTCTACACTGTAAAAAAAACAAAATAATATAAAGGCTAAGTTTATAATAGTTATAAAAGAAACACTTATAACTAAACGGGTTTATTACATTTGTTTAATTGTCATGTTATTGTAGTCGTGTTGCATATCATGTTATCGTGGTGGCATTGCTCACCTGTATACACATGTAGGCGTACTGTATGACGCCGGTACACAACTTGCGGCAGTACGCTGTGGCGAGCGGCAACATGGCCGCCGCTATTGAATGCTCGTCCAGCGCGGTCGCAGACTGCAGCGCGCAATTCATTAGCCTGCAGACAAAAAACAACTTTATGCTATAGCGATAAGATTCATTTTTCAATTAAATTAAGGAGAACAGATGAAATAATATTTTTTTTCACTACGTATAGCCTAATATCATTATTTAAATATTAAACTGATATATAAACACGGCTAAACACTGAAGTATATTCGTCCGGTGGCGGCACCGACTAGTTTCGAGCCCATCGGGGGCTCTTCATCAGGATGAGTGGTACTGGTATTATTTCGCGGACGCGGCCCTCAGCTCACTGAGCGAATATACGTGAGTGTTTAGCCGTGTTTATATATCATTTTAGTATAATGTCTCACGAAAGTTTGAATAATTTGATTATTTAAATATACCTACTTTTAGACATTTATTAGTTAGAATCCTTTGACGCGAATGGCGCGCTTTCATTACAAAGTCAAGTGTCAGAATAATTAGTGAAGGGACATAAACGTCGACATTTAAGTAAGGCTAGTGTTGCCAGTACACCGGCACTGTCGGATATTCTTCCTAACACTACTTACGTTCTATTTATTCCTAAAAAAATTCAGAACAGAACAAGGCCAGAATTGTATACAT